CTATTCATATATATACTCACACGCTCATACATACATACATATATACATACATACATACATACATATATACATACCTACATACATACACATGCACATATATATGTATATGTTATAAAAACATATATGTGCGCACATACATGAGTACATTTGTATTTCTATTGTTTGAGTAAAGCTCTGATCATGACACGCAGGTGGTGTATGGTATTACCTTCAGATTGAAGTGCCACCATAAGACATACTTTGCGTCCTCCTCCGAATCTGTGCCGCGGACGTAATTAACAGACACATGGATATCCAGTCGATGCTGTAATGCATCCCACTGGCCTTTCCTCACCTACTATTAGGCGGTGTTTGCAGGACCTCCTTGTTATAGATACACATATATCCCCTTGTTATAGGAACGCATATATCGATACAACGAGGCTCTACCGGAGTGTGTAACAGATATATTGAAGGATATAGTATAGTATTTTCAAATAATTTATATCGAGTGATATAGTATAGTATATATCAATTCGTGGAGGTGTAGATTAGTATACTGTGGGAATGGATGGTCCAGAATACATATCTAACCGTGGCGTACGGCATCTGGGGAGTGGGGACATTTCAATCTATACATCAAATATATAAAAACTTCATGGATGTATTTTAAAAGAATGCGCGTCCTGTACTGCATACGGTAATACAGTATAAACTGCCGATGCCATTCCCATTTCGCCCGCCTCCATTTCTCTGCGAGTCTCTGAGATCCAGACATTTTTTAAACCATTCCCCAACAAATTTATGAATGTAATGTCCAATTAAATCGACTAAACCAATTATTTTTAGTCAATTGAAACTGACTTCAATTTTAAAATTCAGTTTTCATTAGATCGATTTCCGCAATCCGCAACCGTCGCTTTTTTTTTTTTACAATAATCGCTTTTGTATATGTATTGAACTGCTCGAAAAGTTGTACGTTTTTTATATATAAAAAAGGCCACTTGCTGTTAGGTCTCTTGGGGCACTGTTTATATTTCGAATATAAACAGCAACGTTAACATTTTTTGTTTTTTTAACCAGCTGGCAGCCTGGCACTCTGAATGGAATTATGAAATAAACGTTCACCTCCGGTGTTCACGTTCCACCGTACAGTCCACACTCTTGTGATGCGTTGACTTTTGAGTCTGCGGAGTGCTGACTCCAGAGTGCAGAGTCCAAACTCCAAAGGGTCACCCGACAGGCCGACACCCGATGTATACCTGGTAAGTCGTTAATTCTAATTTTAGAATTTACTAAAATTAACCCTAGGCATGAGCAAGAAAAAAATCATCACACCAATTACAATTAAGAATCTTTACTCTTCCCTTCCACTCGTTGGACTTGTTATTGGCTGAGACGAGCTGCCCTATTGCATACTTTTTGGGACCAATGGGTCTGTTTTGGCCCTAAAAAGTGGGCCTAAGGCATGCAGGACAGGAAATTTGCCACGGTGTGGGCGGCATTTATGTATTGTCAAATACATACTTGTTGTGAGTTCTATTTATGTTGTGAATATATTTACGAATATAGTAGAAAGTACCACACTGGCCAGAGTGAAGAACCTCAGGCGACCGAACAACACTCGCCAAGACTGCTTGAAAACGTCAGGCGGGGTTGCACAACATATTATTTATTGACTTAGCAACACTTCATAAACAATCAACCACAACAAAAAGCTGCGAATCCCAGTATAGGCACCATGTCTTCCACAAGAACATTCAGCCTGGCACGGGTGCTTACGCGCACACGCACACAACCCTCTATAAAGGCAATTCGAGCATCGCAACTATCGATCAGAAGTAAGCTTCATACCACAGGTGTACTACAAAATCAAGCTGCTTACGAAGAAGCTTTAGCAAAGTCCGATAATAAGCGAGGAAAATCCCGAAAACCACCAAATAAGGTCGAAGCGACAGAAAACACCACAAAGAATGTAGAAAGTGTTGAAAATGAGGTTAGGTTTCAGTGGAGACCTATTAGACGCTTGCAAACGCATGAGGTCCCCCCGCCACGTATTGCTGGTATGTTTAAATTGGCTACCGTCCATCGTTTGTTTATATCCTCATTCACAACAAAGAGCGATTTTATATATATATGTACACGTGTGCGTGTACACACACACAGGCGATGAATATATATATATATATGTATGCGTGCAAGTATGTATGTATGTATGTATGTATGTATGTATGTATGTATGTATATATGTATCTATATATATATATATTATATATATATATATCTGTATGTATGTATGTATGCATNTATATATATATATATATACATATATATATATATATATATATATATATATATCAATTTACAAAATTGACGTACAATTTACATTCTTATATA